CTGTCCGTCTGTGCACACGATAACTCGAGTAAAAATTAAGATATCTTAACGAAACTTGGTACGTGTACTTCTTTCGAGCGTAGGACGGATGGTATTGAAAATGGGCAAAATCGGACAATAACCACGCCTACCTCCCATATAACGGTAATTTTCAGAAATACGAAAATTGCGATATTTTAGTAACTACTGAAGATTATTAACTCAAAATTGATATTTACAATAATTTTTAGATGAAAAATAAGAATATTATAAATTTTTGAAAAATGGGCGTAGCCACGCCCACTTAGTGTTACATGTGTGTATCTTGGCAACCCCTGCACCGATTTCTTCCATACTTGGCACAGTTATTGGCCTTGGTACAGGACACCAAATGGCCGAAAATTTTTAAAATTGGACAATAACCACGCCCACATCCCATATAACGGTAATTTGGAGAAATACGTAATCTTCGATAAATCCGTATATATTGAAGCTAATTTATTCAAAATTGATGCTTGCAACAATTCTTTATCAGGAAATACGCTTATCATAAAATTTTGGAAAATGGGCGTGGCACCGCCCACTTATGATCACATATATGTATCTCGGTAACCGTTCTACCAATTTGTACTTGCTTGTGCTTGCCACATAAAAGCAAAACGTTCAAAATTATTGAAATCGGACTAAAATTACGGCTTTTCATATAACGGTAAATTTTAGAAATGCTCGAAACGTCAATATTTCGAAATTTAAGGACGCTAATTTATTCAAAATTGATACACCCCGGCTTACCATGTAGCGGTAGCTTTCGGAAAGGTGAAAAGGCATATATGTAATACTTGCGCCGGGTATTTAATGTTCGGCCCCGCCCGAACATAGACTTTCTTACTTGTTTTTATTTTATTTCTTATGTTTACTTCTGTTTTATTTTTCTATCCACTCGTATATATCTAAAGTAAGATTAAATAATCTGCTTTTGTTAACTTTTCTTGTCTGTATGTATTTTAATATGCAATTATATTCTAATGTGTACTCAACAATAACACTGTGGAACAAATTCAGGTTAGCAAAAGTTAGGTCGATTCTGAGAGTGAGGGGTAAAAAAGGGGCTAAATTAGAAGACCCGTTTCGCGGCGTTTGTTTATGTTAGTTCGAATTTTTTTTTAATCGACCTTCGAACTTTGCAGTCGAATGCCGATTTTCAGCATATTGTTTATATGGTTTTTTGGCTATAACTCGTCGACTAATTGATATTTTTTCAATCTGCTAAAGCCAAATTATTGCTAGAGACCTGTGCAACAATTAAAATTTAAAAAAAAAAAATTGATTTAGAAAATTTTTGTAGTGCTTATGAAGCAAAATGTTGGAAATTTTTTTTCATGCTTTTTGAACATATTTTCCACAAAACTAAGTCTTTTTTGCTTTCTGTTTGATCTATAATATGCTTCTCAGTTTCTTCAATAACTTTTATTTGAAAAGAAAACAATCATAATACAAAACTTGCGTTTTTCAGCTTAATATTAATTTGCTTCTCATTTCTTATGTACCAATATTTTCAGTGTTGGTTTTGAAGAAACGTTGAAAAAGAAATTATACAAATATGGAAAAAAATATAATTTTGAAATGTTAGTTATGAAAAGTTTTAAGTAAAAAAATTAAATAAATTAAATTAATGATTTGACCAGTTGCTGTTTAGCAGGCGGCTGTGGATCAACATCACTGCTCTCTCTAATATCTTGGTCATCGTCATCATCATCAGAAAGGTCGATAATTTCGTCCAACAGATATTCTGGAATTTCATCTTTGTCTTCCCCTTCTTCCTCTTTTTCCTCGACTTCCTCTTCTTCAAAGGTGTTTTTATACCACCAACAAATTTCAGCAGGTATTGCATCTGGAGATTTCTTTCCTCTGTACCTGAAACGAAAATAGTTTTCAATCGTTAACATGTTTAAATTGTGCACTCTGACAAAGATATTAGAAAAATCTAGGAATTCATGCATCGGAAAGGTAGTGTCTCAGAGTGGTCCCATACTAATCTCGTTAAGATCCGATCAGCGGATCATGAGATATATATATATATATATATTTTTATATGGGAGTTGAAGTCGGTTTTTTTTTTGCTAAAAATTACTTGTTATATACATATATAAGAATGGACTCTTCAGAAATATTTGAGTGACCACTTTAGGTATAGTAGTGACGCTCACACCTGTAAAACAAGAGTTAGGGATAAATTTAAATTCCCATTCTGCCAAACGGAAAACCTAAAACAAGATTTGTACCATAAAGGTTTAAAAATTCACAACGAACTGCCGGCAAATATAAGAAGCTGCAACAGCTTACAACAATTCAAAAGTCGATTATACCCCACTTTTGGATTCAGATATGCACGCGTATTAGTTATCCCAAGTGTTAATACATGCACATGCATAAAGGTTAAGCTTGCGTTCCTGCCTAAGGGTTAATATAAGCTGTCAAGTTAATCTCCGCTTTTTTTTTTTGTTTTGATATTCGTTTTTCTGCTAAGATTTTGCGATCATTCGTTTCTTGCAACGTCTCGTTTTCGTTATCGCTTTCCTTGCGGTGAATTAAATCGCCTTTTTACATTATTAATATTAAATACATTGAGTTAAATAATTAAACGTCCGTTTGATTGGATGGGTTTATCAGCGCAACCTATGGGAAAGATTCGCTGAAAGGAATCTGCCGCAACATTCTGGTCCTTTATCGTCGGATTGCTCATCTCGCTCGCAAAGTGCATAAGTACATGTACAACCTCATATGTATTTTAATATTAATACCTACTGTGTGTCCTCTGCTACAAAACAACTTTGAATAAAAGGGTTTAAGCCGCATTTAAAAAGATTGTATCATCGTGAAGCAATCGTTTAATAAACATTCTGCGCAATATTCTAGTTTTTAGTCGTGACTTTGAATTGGCCTCTGCAAGTACGCTACAACAATTTTAACTACCAAGGGCACGTCAAAGGCAAATTGCAATGTCAAACGCAGTTAAATCACGTGATTCTGCACTCAATGCCATAAAGAGGTATATGGCAAAAAGTATGGATGAAGCAATTGCAATGGATGTGGAAAGCATCACAAGTTATTTGCAATTACTAAATGAGCAATGGAATCGTTTTACTATTGCTCAAGATGCAGTTGAGATTTCTTTCGGAACCGACAATGCTGAGTTAGAAGAAAATTTTCGCATTCAGGCCGAAACGTGGTACACCACAGGTTTGGCGAATTTTAACCGCGTTCAGAATTGTCGCTCGGAAGCGGCATCGCAACCTGCAATCTCTTCAACGCCAGTTTCTGCTGCAATACGTCTACCGAAGATGGAACTACCGTCATTTTCTGAGGATTCCACAGAATGGATAAGTTTTTACGACGCATTCTCGTCACTGGTTGACTCCTACACTACTTTGTCGGACGGGCAGAAACTGCATTATCTACGCAGTTGTTTGAAAGGTGATGCATTGAAAATGATCAGTGGCTTCGAGATCTGCGACGCCAATTATAAGGAAGCATGGGACCTGCTTAATTCCCGCTTAAAAATCATGCGAGTCATCGTGGAAGCGCATTTAAAAGCAATGGCTGAGATTCGTAAAGCCCCAAGTGACACTGCGGATGCTATTAAGAATGTGCTTGATGCATTTCAGCAACATATCCGCGAGCTCAACTAGGTCGCGCCGTAGAATTTTGGGACGATTGGCTGGTTCACGAAATAGTGAACAAACTCGCTTTTGACACAAGGAACCAGTGGGAGCTTTCCCTCCTTAAGGATGATCCTCCGACTTTTGAACAGCTAACAACATTTTTGGAAATAAGGTGCCGTTCGTTAACCATGCTTTCATCGGCAGCCTCATTAACATCAGCGAGCAAATCGATTACAGCGAGCAAAGCCGGCAAGTCTACTAAAGTATTCCACGCGACACCAGAACCGAACAGTACAGGCTGCACATATTGTAAGGGAGCACACAAGATATATGCTTGCGATAAGTTTCATCGATTGGATTCGGCCGCTAAGTCAAAATTCCTCAAGGACTCCAGGGCTTGTTTAAACTGCTTAAGCCCTGGACATTACATGTCATGCTGCAATAGTACGTCCGCATGCCGAATTTGTCACCAGCGTCATCACACGCTACTGCATAACAGCGCGTCCTCATCCGTCGTCAACACCCCCGCTCACTTCGTCGTTGACGTCGCTGCTCCGACTGAAAATGCAACCCCTTCAGCCGCTATTGATTCCCCGACGAGCACCGTTTCCTCGTGTCTAAATTCCAGTCCTAACCCGCTACCCGCAACGCAAAGGATCGTGCTGTTGGCTACTGCTTTGGTGAAGGTACGGTAGGATTGTGCCGGTCGTTGGCAACACACTCGTTTACTATTCGACTCAGGTTCGCACGCTTCTTTCGTAACGGAGGCGTGTGTGCAACGATTAGGTCTACCAAGGACGTCATCAACGGTGATCATCACTGGGATTGGATCATCGCAAGGAGGCCGATCTAGAGGTGAGACAGTACTTTCTCTTTCCTCCTACTGCTCAGAACAACGCTATTCTATTAATGCGCTGATCTTACCGAGAATCACAGGCTACTTACCGACGCAGACCTTTGACGCCCCAGCATGGCAACATCTTCAGGGGTTATTCTTAGCCGATCCGCACTTTATGAAGCCTGGTAGAGTAGACATATTAGTCGGAATGGACGTCATGGACCGACTCGTATGCTCGGAACTTCACAAGGGTCCACCCGGCACTCCAATGACGCAGCGAACGGTCTTCGGTTGGACGCTGTTCGGATGTATTGACGGTTCTAGTCCACCAACGTCATGTTTACCGTCTTTACACTGTGATGTTTTCCTGGATCGTGCGCTCACCAGATTGTGGGAGCTAGAGGAAACACCGCGAAAGGCGCATCTCACCCATGAAGAACGTTTTTGTGAAGAGCACTTCGAGTCGACACACCAAAGGTCTTCTGATGGTCGATTCATAGTCGAGTTGCCACTGAAACCTGATGTTTCTTTGGGAGAGTCCCGAAGTTTTGCTGTTCGCAGCTTGCTTCACATTGAGAGGTTATGCCGATTTACGCTCACGCTACAATGAGTTTATGGAGGAGTTGATCGCTATGAATCATATGGAACCCGTATGCACCGCAGCTAGTCAGGCATATTATATGCAACATCACCAAATTATAAAGGAGTCGAGTGTGACCACGAAGCTGAGGGTCGTTTTCAACGCTTCCGCCAAAACCACTGCTGGGAAATCGCTCAACGATGTGTTATTCGTCGGGCCACAACTGCAGCCAGATTTATATTCAATTTTGATGCGTTTCAGAACGCACCGCTTTGCTGTAACGGCGGATATAGCAAAGATGTACCGGCAGATTTGCGTATCATCAAAGCACGTTGACCTACAACGAATCGTCTGGCGTCGTGACCCGTCATTACCAATTCAAGATTTTCGAATGTTACGCGTTACGTATGGAGTGACAGCTGCATCCCAGTTGGCAGTCAAATCACTGCAACAAACTGCTAAGTGTTCGCTCAAAAGTTGTGAAAAAAGCTGTTGCCGTCATCCTTAAGGCTTTTTATATGGATGACCTGCTAACTGGGGCATCGTGCGATAACGAGCTCAAATTGTTGCAAAGGAATGTTTCTGAGATCCTAAGCGAAGGGGGCTTCGAACTTCGTAAATGGGCGTCTAACTGAACGAAAGCATCTCCAACGCATCTAAGAATATTTCGCACTACTTAGCTGACGGTAAGGACGTTCACGCACTGGGTCTCATCTGGAACACCGATGGAGACTACCTCACGTTAGCAGTCAATCTCAAGAACCTGCCTGTAGGGTTAACTAAGAGAGCTTTCCTGTCCGACGCTAGTACTCTGTTCGATCGTAAGGATTGCTTGCTCCGCCAACGATCAAAGCCAAAATGTGGTTTCAAGACATTTGGCGTGCTGAGGTTGGTTGGGATGATCCGGTACCTGACACAATTGCAAGGCAATGGATCCAACACCGCTCAGATCTGCAACATCTTTCCAGGTTAAAGGTAAATCGCTGGCTCGTCTTAGGAACAGTCGGATCGTTTACAGAGCTCCATGTCTTCGCCGATGCATCGGAGCACGCCTATGCTGCAGTTTTGTACGCTCGCACCCTTCAAAGTGATGGCAAGGTCACTGTTGCGCTAGTCTTATCAAAATCCAAGGTAGCACCAATAAAACCCACAACGTTACCGCGTATCGGGCTGTGTGAAGCACATCTCGCCTCTGAATTAGTGCGAAGCGCGATGCATAGTTGGAGCGATCTACGTTTCCCTCTGTATGCTTGGACGGATTCAACCATTGCATTGGCATGGTTGCAGGGGCATGCCAGCAGATGGGTCACGTTTGTTGCGAACCGTGTTGCTGATGTCCAAGAAGTCCTACCGCCTGAGTGCTGGCACCATGTCCGATCTGAAGAGAATCCAGCAGATTGTGCCTCAAGAGGCATAACTCCAGCTGAACTAGTGGGTCATCCGCTGTGGTGGGCTGGTCCCAGCTTTCCAGGAGTTCAGAACAGTGCTGGAAAAAAAGTATGTCAGAGCAGCACTCACCGGAGTTGGGGGTACGAAGCAAGGTTCGCGTACACATCGCTGACTCAGACAGTCATTGGTCCATAATGACGAAGTGGTCCTCGCTTTCAAAGCTGCGTCGAATTATAGCGTATGTTCTACGATTCCTCCACAATGCGCGCACGAGAATTCAATCCACCGCTGGGAAACGATGTGGTCCTCCAAGTTGTCAGGAGATATCCGAAGCTGAAAGCCGTCTAATTAAGTATACACAACATTTTATTTTTTCTAACGAGATTTATCTTTCCAGCGCAAAAAAGTCTATTCCGTTACGCAGCAGTATTTTGCGCTTGCATCCATTTCTCGACGAAAACGGTGTTCTACGGATCGGAGGCGAAGTTACACCTGATATGAAACATCCTATTATTTTACCTAAGAATTCTCCGCTGGCGAAGCAATAGTAGCCGATATTCATAAACTGAAATTGCACGTGGGACCCCGTATAATACAGGTTGTGTTGCAACGCCGTTATTGGGTTGTTGGCGCCCGGAGCCTGGTTCGCACCGTTTACCATAAGTGCGTAAAATGCACATGTCTGAATCGTCATGTCGCCACACAATCAATAGGAGATCTACCCGCCGCTCGGAGTACGTACGCCCGCTGTTTTACCCGCACCGCAGTCGTCTACGCTGGTGCAAAATCTACCAAAGGATACATCTGCTCATTCGTTTGCATGTGCACCGGCGCCATGCACTTGGAATTCGTGGGAGACCTGTCAGCATCAGCTTTTCTAAACGCGTTCAAACGGTTCGTTAACCGCAGAGGACACTGTAAAGTCATGTTCTCTGATAATGGCACCAATTTCGTTGGCGCTGAAAGGGAGCTTCGTAACAGCTTCCAACGTTGCATGGCAGGTAGCAGGCTTTGCTGCTTTTTCGCTCACTCCAATATCGAATGGCGATTCAACCCTCCTAGCGCACCTCACATGGGAGGCTATTGGGGAAATTGGAATCAAGCGCATAAAATACCACTTGAAACGCGTTTTGGGTGAGTCTTTGCTGTCATTTGAAGAGTTTAGCACGCTGTTGACTGAAGTAGAAGCCTGTGTGAACTCCCGCCCGCTATGCGACAACTCCGCAAATGTAGACGACTTAGAGGTACTAACGCCTGGACACTTCATCATTGGCGAACCGCTGAAATCGATCCCAGAGCCTGAAGGTCAAGGGCTCTGTGGAAGTCTACATCAGCGATGGAAGGCGATTTCTGCTATGAGGCAGCATTTCTGGCGCCGTTGGCGAGATGAGTACCTCGTTAATTTGCAGCGTCGCACCAAGTGGCTGCGGCATTCCCGCAACGTACAAGAAGGTGATTGTGTCTTCATCTTTAGTGAGCCTAAGCCATCCTGGCGCTGATGGACGTGTACGAGTAGTAACATTAAAAACGCCGAATGGAGAATTGGCCAGGCCGATAGTGAAACTTTACATTCTACCAACGAAAGGAGATATATTTTGTGACGAAACTTTATAAGATCTAGTTTGTCGATGCTAATCGAAATTGTTATTGTAGATATCATTTTAATTTTTGTAAATTCTGAATGAAACATATCAAGATAGTTCAAGGGAGGCGGTATGTTGGATTCAGATATGCACGCGTATTAGTTATGTGTGTTAATACATGCACATGCATAAAGGTTAAGCTTGCGTTCTTGCCTAAGGGTTAATATGAGCTGTCAAGTTAATTTCCGCCTTTTTTTTTGTTTTGATATTTGTTTTTCTGCTAAGATTTTGCGATCATTCGTTTTTTGCAACGTCTCGTTTTCGCTATCGCTTTCCTTGCCGTGAATTAAATCGCCTTTTGTACATTATTAATATTAAATACATTGAGTTAAATAATTAAACGTTCGTTTAATTGGATGGGTTTATCACCGCAACCTATGGGAAACATTCGCTGAAAGGAATCTGCCGCAACACCCACTGCAAAATGTATGTATAGAATGAAATGATGAAAACTTTGTTTTAAAGGATTGCTGCTTGATCCAGTAGAGAGCAGTGGAGACGGTGGGCATGGAAACTAGTCCTTTCCATCCGGCCCACAGCGCGTAAAGAACAGTGGAGAGGGTCGGCGTGGAAACTAGTCCTTTCCATTCGCTTTACAGTGCGGCTCTGGATCTCATCCTTTCAGACCGCCTGTATAACACCAATTTCTAAAGTTAGACTGGCTCGGAAACTAGTACTTACCGACTGATCACAAATTACTTTATAGCCTGAAGCGTAGATGCGACTGGGAATAAAGTCCACATCAACGGTATAGGAAGCGCGGCTCTGGAACTCGTCCTTTCGGACCGCCCACCTAACCAGTACCCAACATTCGGGCTGCTCGGGATCCCGTCCATTCCGAAAGCCACGGTTACGCTTATAATTCAAATAATATAATTAATACAATCACCTTGCTTAAATGTTTGTATGAGGCATTCTTTTTCATACCGGACACCAAATTTGGTGTCACTCTTTCGATTGGCTTAAATTTTTTTTTATGGGTTCTATACATGAAATAAGCTAACACGTGTTCGAGGAATTTTTTTTAAGTTTTTTTCTTCGGAGATATGATCTGTCAAAGTTTGAATTTTTTCGTGATTCTGACTAATCTTGTACTACAAATCGTTATATCGCGGGTTCTGCGCATCGTAGAGACTTCATCTTAACGACGTTTTAAAGCAAAAGACGGGCTTAACATTTCTATATATAAGGTGGTCAAGATTGTCCCAAAGCCAACTTAGCTTATCTTCAATAATCATCCCTTTTAAAAAGTCAACAAACTTTCGTAAAAACTTCGAACTTTTTAATTCGATTTTTAAGAAATATTTTGAGTAAGCAGTTTTTAGCCCATTCAATTTTACTGCAAGTTTAAAGTAACTGATTTTTGGATTTTTTTTATTTTATTTTATTCTATTATTATTATTCTATTTTATTCCATACAAAACATTTTTGACGATTGTTTTGTTATATGGAGAAAATGAGCAACACCTTCGACGAAAAAAATTCCCAAAAATTAATGGTACTTGAAATTGGGCTACGAAACTGCATACTCAAAATGTTTCTAAAAAATCGAATTACAAAGCTCGAAATTTTTACAAAGTTTGTTGATTTCTTCTTTAATTTTGCACAAAGATTGAAACTTGGATTTATATGGTTTCTGTTAAAAATATGCTGTACCTTTAAAAACCAATAATTTAAATAAAAATTTTTTAAAATAAATGGTGAAATCTTGAGTGTGAGTGTATAAAGTTATGCTAAGAACTATATGTATGCATGTCGAATCAAACTTTTTGATACAACTTTTTGTCTATTTCCGCGGTGAATGTAGAAAATTTCACATTAAACTGTGTAACCAGAAATTCGTAGGGGGATAACAGCAAAATGCGTAGAAAAAGCGTTTTCCTCGTTAGTTACCGATATCGCTAAGGAATTATACTATTTGGACATTGTCCTTCCTCGGAGAGCAGATAGATAAAATTGTCGGGCTAATTATAGTGCATCTAGCGCCGAAGATTATTATCGAAAGGTAATATTTATACTGCTATTGCATAATATTTAGCTCAATCTCCGAGAAAGATTGCCGAAATATACATTACATAAACATTTTTGAGTTGAACTATTACTTCCATACATATACAATTAGGGAATACAAGCGGACCCATGCGCAGACTGCGCAGACAGAAATACACAGTAAACTCATCTCATCCCTCTTTGTAGCCACAGATAAAACCAGACTGTTTTAATAATTCGCGGAAATAGTAAAGGTATAAACCCCCTATTTTTATTATACATATAAAGGGTGAACACACCAAAGCTGCGACACTTTGGGAAGCTTATAACTTACCAAAAAAGATTTCAATATTTTGAAATTCAAACACCATAAGCTGACCATGACCTTAGTTGGACGTAGAAGAAATTTCATTTGAATTTGATTTCTAGTTGAGTTAAAAATGGCAACCGAGTTAGAAACGAGACAAACCATTTTGCACGAGTTTATAAATGATTTAGGGAGTGCTCAAAGCGCTCAAAGTTTTCCATGTATTTTATATGGAGAAAAAAACATGTTTTCGTAGAAATAGTGTAGAATTCTTGAAAATCAATATTTTTCGATCGGAAAACTTTACTTATCTTCAGGAGATTCCCAGTAATAATACTCAATTGTTTCTTTAACAATTTTTTCATGGTAACTATATTTTATAGGTCCTCCAAAGCCCTTAGAAAATGCAATGGGGGACCAATAAAAAATCTTTAATCATAAAAAATGGTTAAATAAACAGTTGGATATTAATACTGGAAGTCTCCTGAAGAGAACCATATTGAAAAATCGAAAAATATTGATTTTCAAGAGCTTTATACCATTTCTGCGAAAAATTGTTTTTTCTCCATATAAAAAACATGGAAAACTTTGAGCGCTTTGAGCACTCCCTAAATATTTTTTTATTTCAAAATAAAAAAATATGGGTATATTTTTTCGGTATATAACAATCCTAGGGGGTGGCGGCATTAAAAATCCGACCTTATTTTTTTACATACATTTTTGGACCACTTTAATGTACATATTTATGTGGGAGCTCGTTATGTTTTACTGCATATGCACTTAACGTGTTTTCTTTGTTTAGTTTATTCCTTTGTAAACACAAGGATCAGACAACTGTATGTCTGTATTATGCTTATGCATGAATGTACCTAAGCAAAAAGATCGTAGCAAAAATGCATTGTTTTACTGATCTTCTAGTAAACTGTATTATAATTTCTCTGTATGTACGTATATTTGTCTACAAGAGATAAACGCATTGATCTCTTATTTCAGTTCTGTACATTTTTGCCTGTACTTAAGTATTACAATTTATGTGATTTTATATTCATAGCAGCAATCTTCGTAGTCAGGCAACAAGATCGCAGAGAAATTCTATTGCTTTGCTTATCATACATTTGACAGAGTTGTGGACTGTATACATATACATACTTTTTGTATGTTTTGTGATAAAAATAAAAATTATGCCATCAACACAAATAAACTATTTTGCAAATACGTCACATGCAAATTCATGAGTGAGCCGAACATGTGAGGAGTTTATGGAGAAGAGAATGTAAATAACGCTAGCGCTCGCAGTGTTCTTAAAAAATATAACTCCTCCGAGCACGAGAGTACTTTGATGGCTTTACGAGCTCTGTTTATTAAACTGGAAAGTGTGTGATCAAAAAATCATTTTTTTTATTTTTATTTAGCCACTCCGAATTTAGTTTTGGAACAAATTTACATCGTTAGATCTAATTTTCACATTTTTTTACGAGCTCTGGGAATATGTTAGAAATGTAGCTGCAGGGGGTCCACCGAAACCAGTAATGTTTTGAAAGGGGTCTACGAGAAAAAAAGTTTGGGAACCTCTGCTCTAGACAATGACTTCCTTAGCGATTGAGGAAGG